ATTCAGAAACTCATGATTTGTTATTAATTTGATATAAAATAATAAAATAGTGTTGACTGATTCTAATTACTGATTCTAATTTTTTTTAATAAAATTAATTGTTATGGATGAGAAAATCTCTATTGCTACAATTCAAATTCCCTTTATTTAATGAATTCAAAAAGGAAGATATTTATGATTCAGGACAAGATATCATATATTCAAAAAGGAGAAGAGATCTTGATTGTTTCAAGATTCTCCCCAGATTCAAATAACCAGATTTCCTAGATGTATTAGGATTCGAATTCCACAATCCTAGATGGATCAGGATTCAACTCCTATATAAGTCAAATCCGAAAGGTATGCTCACAACACTCTACACTTTATACTCAACTACTCCGATTCTGACTTAACCATCGCAGCTTGTGTGGCAAGAGCCACACCGGTCTTTAATGCTATTCTGTTTTGTAGGTCTTGTCGATCCCTTTTATTCTTGAAGATTCGTGCGAATTTGGCAGAATCCCAAGGTGTCAAATTTCTGCATCAACAATTGACGTCGTCTGTGGGGACGACTAATATCTAAAAGTCAAGACGATTGAAGACGAATTGATCGAGAAATGCTTAAATCCAAGGAGATCTCGAAAGAAACGAATCGACATGTATTATGGAGGCAGACCACAACTTTCTAACGATGAATGCCATACGACTTGGGGGCTTCCCCTACCTGAGGTAGCTAAGAAAAAAACAAATTAATAAGTTATGAGACATGATCCAGAACGAATGAATCAACAAATTCCAAGATAGATCCTGGATAAGATAAATCGAAGGATTCCAAAACAGACTCTGGGATAAACGAGTCAATAAAATCCCAGAAAAAAAAAATCAACTGATTAACATACGGAGTTTCTACTTCAGACGATGGTAAGTTTGCTGTGTAATTCTGGTTGTTTATGATTACGAGAGTTTAAGTTTAATTTTCTGGTAACCGCATATTTGGTAAATCGCATAATTTAGGACTGATTTTGGTAACTGCATGTTGATATTATGTTTCCAAAGATACTTACTCATTTGTGATTTTAAAAAAGCTCCTAGCATCTGAAATTTAATTAATTACTTATTACTTGAGCAATTATCTCTTTGTATATTATGAATAAGACTTTTGACATCTAAAATATAACTATATCTTTACTACTTGACATTTATCTTTTACTCTAAATGAAAATCCCTCAAGTGGGGACATGGGTAAGTAAATCAAGCTGGTCAAGGAACTCGAATAGGGACAGACCTAGAAGCAGGCCGATAAGCTAAAAGTCAATCAGTGAAACCAGGGAAAAGAATCCCAATGTGCTGAAAAAGGCATGCGTACAGGCCCAACAAGGTTAAAACAAAAAGCAACCAATCAATGAAACCCAGGGGTAGAAAACCATTTGGTAAAAACCAAAATAGGTTAAAAATCTAGGGGTGTTGATTAACTTAGGGTAAAAAACCGACAAAAGCCAAAAGGTTAGAAACCCAGGGCCGACTAGACTAAGGGTATAAAACCATTGGCAAAAGCCAAATAGGTTAGAAACCCAAAGAAGTACCAGTGACCTTGCTGAAAAGTTAAATTCGAAGGCCAAAATCTAACGGTAAAAACTAACCGTATAGCAGTGCCTAAGAGACTTGATTGTAACCAACTACAACAAAATAGAATGGGGGCTATGACAGCCAGCCTATAAAACGACAACCGACTACAACAAAAGGGTATTGACTGGACTCAGGGTATAAAACCATTGGCAAAAGCCAAGTAGGGTGGAAACCCAAGAGTAAACCAAGAGACTTGACTACAGCCAACTACGACAAAAGGGTATGAGGGCTATGACAGTCAATCCATAAAAAGCAACAACTGACAACAAGTACTCTTAATGATAAGAGACTTGATAATAGCGGACTACAACAAAAGAGAATGAGAGCTAGGAAAGTAAGCCAAATTAGACGACAATCAATAGCGAGGTTGATGGGAATTCGAGACAACCCCCAACATCCACCGCTGCTCCATACAAAAACGAGGCTATTCCACAAAAGTCAACTCATGAAACGACAAAATACTCTCAAAGCAGAACTTTGACAATCTTCAACTTTAAAAGTGGGGGTTATTATTATGGATGAGAAAATCTCAATTTTCTACAATTCAAATTTCTTTATTTAAAGAATTCAAAAGGGAAGATATCTTATGATTCAGGAGAAGATATCCTATATTCAAAAGGAGAAGATATCCGATTGTGTCAAGATTCTCCCCAGATTCAGATAACCAGATTTCTTAGATGTATCAGGATTCAAATTCCACAATCCTAGAGGGATCATGATTCAACTTCTATAAATAGGGTGAAAGGAATTTTATTTATTGGCATTTTTGGAAAAAAACATTAAGTTTTATTTAATCATTTTCTCTATTTATTTTATGTGTATAATTTAATTTATTTGTATGTTTGAATTTGAATTTGAATTTGAGCTCTTAAATGTTTCCAACGACTAGTTTCTTTCTTGGAATGTTTTACTAATTGATTATACGAGAATTGGATTTTAATTGTATTGAGAGATTTGTGGTTGAATTGGAATTGTGACAAATTCACTTTCCTTCTCATGTCAATTTTTCTTGTTTATTTATTGTGTAGTCTTGGAACATATCAAGCAATAAGTGTGGAGCAAAGTTTGTTTTATTCTCTCAAATTTTTCAAGCATTGTTTATGGTGTAAGATCTTGAGAGATAATTTTTATATAATTGGATAAGTGCAATTTTGTGAGTTGTTTTTCTTTTGTGAGATTTCTATCAAGTATTGGGAAGACACATCCACCATTGAAAGGGAGTTCAAGTGGTGGTTTACAACACAAGGGGAGCTTGTGTTTGGAAAGATTCAATCGAAGGAGGAGTCAATCAAGTATTGCGGCATGATTTAAGAAGGGAGTTCTTTTATGCATAAGTCAATATTGATTGTAAATTGTACTAACTTTTGATTGTTAATCTTATTCTCTAATCGTGGCCTCGTGGAGTAGGTTGGGAAATCGAACCACGTAAAAAGCGTCTTTGTGTCATCTCACTTCATTGTTTTAATTTCTAAGATCCAAAAATTTATAACTTTAGAAAAATAGAATAATATTTTAGCAAGCTAGTTAGATGTTTCATAGGGAAGTAAGTCAAACCCTAAAGGTATGCTCACAACACTCTACATTTTATATTCAACTACTTTCATTTTGACTTAAGCATCGAAGTCTGTGTGCCAAGAGCTACACCGGTCTTTAATACTATTATGATTTGCAGATCTCGTTGATGTCTTTTTATTCTTAAAGATTCGTGTGAATTTGGCGGAATCCCAAGAAGCCAAATTTCTGCATCAACATTAATTAAACCATATAGTTCAATATACTTCTCAATTGTAGTGAAAAATATATACATACACTTATCAATTCGTTATTTAATTCACAGTAGCATACAAAATGCTCGAATAGTAAATAACAAACTAGCTTTATTATTATTATTATTAGTCTAGTTTCCAAAAATTGATCCCTTTTCTGAAAAAGTTTTTCAAAATCTAGAACCGAGAAACGAGATTACCAAACATGTCTCTTTCTCAAAAAATTAGAAACAGAAACAAAAAATAGGAAACGAGAACGTTACCAAACGAGCGCTTCCTAATTAAATTTAGTATTAACCAGTTGATTAACTAACCAAATTATAGAAAAAGGAAAATTCACCTTGCAAAAAATCAGACTTTTGATTCATGAGAGATGATTGTCAAGGTTCTGCAAAGTAAAATCCAAATAATAAACAAGATTATTAAAACATTCATCATATTATCTATACTAGGGTTATGGGGGGAAACTTTATTCCCTATTTTGCCATTTAATTTCGATGTTTTCTTTATTATTTTAATTGCAATTTTGTCATTCCATCATTCTCAAATTCCACGCACTTCTTTCTCTCCAAATCCCCTCGAATTCTACTCATTCTCTCTCCTTTCGCTTCACGTCACCCTCCTCGTTTTTCTTTTTTTTTTTTTTTCTTTTTGCCTTATCTTTTTAGTACCTTATTTAAGTTCAAATGAACTAGGAAAATAATGGAAAAGTTTGAATAAAATTGTTTCAATTTATTCTTAAAAACTAATTATAAAATTAATGACTTTATCTTTAATTATATAATTAATAATGGAATTTCAAAAAGTTATAAATTAAAAAAAAAACAAATTATAAATTTATAACTATATAAAATATATTAAAAACATCTACTCTTGAAAAATATTTTTGGACAATTTTATTTCTATATAAAATTTTAAATTTAAAAAATATATCAATAACTATTAAATTATATTAGTTTAATTTAAATAATAAAATGTAATATGAAAAGTTTTGTTTTAATTCAAATTAATTGAAGAATTATAACCTTTAATTATCTTTAATTTTTTAATATAAAAAGTTTTGAACTTTCAAGAGTTTTATAATCCTTTCATTTTCCACCGCTATAAAATGACATTTTTTACTCATTTTGTACCATGATTTGAGCTATATTTTTTCTTAACTATTCTTTCTCTCTGGTCTTTTTAGTGTTAAATCTCTTTTTTGAGAATATACCATGATTTGAGCTATATTTTTTCTTAACTATTCTTTCTCTCTGGTCTTTTTAGTGTTAAATCTCTTTTTTGCATTCTCAAAATCATCCTTTGACATTATCTACATTGTCACCTTGTGCCCAACTCTCCATCAACAGTGGCTTCACTCGCACAGTGGCTTCGACTAATACTACAATTCACTTAGTTGTGATTTCATCAGTCTCTCTCGTAGAATCAAGTTTTTGTTATAATTTGTAATGACCTTATATTTTTTAAAATTTTTGTAGTTAGAACTATAAAATTTCACAGGCATGGCACATGTTTACCTCATCCGAGAAGTACAAAACCAAACTTCTTTGAGGATTTGTCTCAATCTCCTTGCAGCACTTTTCTATTTGTTTCGTTGGAAGACAGGCTAAGCTATAAATTTCTCTTTAATTTTTTTCCATAACATAATCATCTTGAACAGCATCCAAATTTCAAGGACACAATGTACTGTAGACACAAATGCGAAACACTCCCTTCCTCCACCATGCCGAGCATAGCTCAATAGATTAGGTACAGATTACCATCCAAAGGTCGATATTCAGTCCCGACAATTGCTGAACTCAAGAAAGAAAGAAAAAAAAATCCCTCTATCTCAGCCCACCCAAAAAATGAGAAAATATTTTGGTACATACAGGAGGGAGATGCAGCAGCAGAGTTCAAGCATTCGATGAACAGAGAGAGATCAAACATATGCTAATGAACCATCAACAAACAACCTGGTTTCTGAGCAACTCCTAAAAAAATTAAAAGTAATGGCTATCAAAATCTGGAGGGTTTTATTTAGATTTCTTTGGCTGGTCAGAAAATCCCACCTCCCATAATCTTACAGAAGAAGCTTTAAAGCCGAAGCAACTAATAGATCGATAATCATGGAGGTCTTTATTTTGATTTCCTTTGCTGGTCAGAAACTCTGGCTCCTGCGATCTTACATACAGGCTCATCCTTCGATTGAAGAAGCTTTAATGCAGGATGAACCTTGAGGTCACCCATAACCAACTTTTGGCCAACATCTAACTCACTCAGATCGACATCAATATATGGAGGAATGATATCGGCAGGACAAAGGTATTTAACAGTCTTCTTGATTGTATTCAAATAAGATCCTGTCCAATTTATCCAATAATTTTTAAAACAATGATCATCAAAGGAGTAAAACTATAATTGTTCTGTCGTTTGTAGACTACATTTAAAAAAAATACATATAATTGTTCTGTCGTTTGAAGACTACATTTCAGGATCAACAGCTGTATTTTTTAGAGAATGCAGAACATTTTTAGAGAAACCAGGAACTTTTCAAAAAGTACAAATGAAGAAGTAAAAGCTAAAAGGAACAGAAAAAATACAAGCAAAGCTTTCTTTTCTGGAGCAATTTTATCTCTTTTTCCAAAAAGATCTAATTATGTTAAGGAAACAGATACTAGATCATTTCAACTTAATATATCAGAAAATAAACCTGAGGTTGCAATTTACTACCAGCTAGCTTCTGGTGATGTTAACATTTTTTTAATAACCCATAATCGAAGCTATTTAGCCTTTTCCCTGTAACTGGGGGCAGATGTCAACATATTTAGATCTATACCCTATCTAACTTGAAAATTCAAGTATCCTACATCAT